TTGCTACTCCAAGCACTATGAGGGCTTTGAAAAATCCACTGATTGACATAGTCCATCATAGCTTAGATGGTTGGTTGACCTGTTCTGTCTTCTCTCTTTTCTTCGTTAGGGTTCTGAGTCCAACATTTAGATTAGGAAGATCTCCAAAGAAACTTCTTGTATGTGCTAACAAGTACAGGGCCTGGCACCGTCCATCGCTCCAATCAGCTGGTGGCTGCAATTGCTGGGTCGGTTCCGTTTTCACTCCCGACTTCCACTGGAACCATAAAACTAAGATAGCAGCTGGGGTGGAATGGGGTGTGGGACAGGCTGGATTACTGCTACACTTACTGGCAAACCAGGGTAGGAGGTGGGCCTGGTGGGGGTTATTGTGGGTCGCTCCAACCTAGGCTGCAGCTCCCGCTGGTTTGTGTGGGGACCAAGTGTGTGCTGGGCAGAACTAGGCTGGACTGCAACACCCATTGGTTCCCCAGGACATCTTAAAGGAAGACTCTTTATTTTGTTTGAAGAATTATTAGTTCATAATAAAGATTGCACTATCCTGCAATTAATGTTTTTTGTTAAATATTGCCTCCCAATTAAGAATGGAGTATTCATTTTAAAATCTGAAATTCCTGTTTTTCTTTTGCCAGCCTGACAATAATTATGTAGTTATATATAGACAATTTTGTATATTCTGCAAATTTTTAATGAAGTTTCTTAGATATTTGAGGTCATCTTAATGATTGACTTCAAAAGCTATTTTTCAAAATTTCAGTCAAATCAAAGAACATGTAAAACCTCCATTCTTTTCTCTTTAATCTTATTTCCCTCACTTTTTAGCTATTAAAATTCCTCTTGAGCTTTCACTTCTATTCTTTCTTTGGCCTGAAATTTGAGTCTCCCATAGGAAGCAGACAGCAAAATCAAGTCTGAAAAATTAAGCTAGCGAGGGAGAAAGTTCCCTCTTGGGTTCCTTTGATTTTAGGCTGTTCAGAAATACTTGAGAACATTTCCAGAGAAGGCAAGATCCATCTTCCCTGACATGTCTCCTGTGTTTACAACCCTGCTTGACATTAGAGCTTTAGTATTGATCTATGATGAACCATCTTCTGGGAGAACAGAGATTTTAACACGTTCCAGTTTTTCGCCTTCTAGCTTCTGCTACTTCTTTATAGTACATGTTCTTTTTCTTTGTCAATCCAATCTACTTGATTTTCTCCCAAAACATTCCATAATCACTATATTCAAGTCAACATGAAGTACTATGAATTCTCTGTGAGTGTCAATGTATCCAGAATTTTTCTAGTAGAAAACAATGAAAATGATTCTGAAAATACTTGTGGAATTTGAGGAAAAAGCATCTTCATGTTTGTTTGTAATAGATGTCTACAATGAAAACAGGTGTTGTAAATAACAGAATGACAAGCTAAAAATTAGGCTGAAGTATTTATTGCCATTTCCGAGTAGAGAAAAGTGTCAGCCAATATTTACTGAGTATGCTTTGGCTACTGTGGAGAAGGCAGCCACTGTGATTTCGTTGATTCCTTAAAGCCTGAAATTTGCTCCCACTTAAAAGGGAAAGTAAAGGACAAGAAGCTTCAGTGACTTGTACATATAGTAGGTTTCAGGGTTAGGATCTGAACCCAGCCTTTGTGTCTAGAACCGAAGCTATTATTGTCCCACATTAATCAGCTTAAGATTTAAACATAGAGGGTTTTTAGTGGAAAACTAAGTGTTGTAATTTATGATTTTTATAACATATACCTTCTGGGAATAATGATATATGTCTCTATTGTCTGTATACTTTCTTGATCTTGAATAAATTATATATGTATCAGACCTATATCTGTTCCATTGGAAAATTGCAATTAAAATATCAGTGTGGAGATTAAATCTGGTAATATGTACAACAATTTGTGTCTATACAAAATGCTAGTTCCTGTGTTAACTTCACTTTATGCTCCTAGTTACTAAAAATTTGACCTAGTTTTGGAACACTTTTTAAATTCATAGCAAAATATTGAGAGACAACTGTAGTTGGAAAAGGCACAGGCACGATGAGCTTGCTATATCCTCAGGCATTTTCTTTTTTGAGCCAGAGTGATTTCAAAGTGGAATGTGCATTTTGTTATCAAAAGCTATAGGGCTGACCTTGAGGGAACTTGATATTTAGTTAAAGCAATGTAATGCTGTAATCCTGTTTCTATTGAAATTTACTAAATGGGGCACTTGAACATATCATAGAAAACTTTTAAAGAATGATTATTTTTTAAAACTTAAATATAAAAATATATTTTTAAGTTTTTTTTTTTTTTTTTTTTTTTTTGGAAAGGCAGCTTTACAAAGAGGAGGAGAGACAAAAAGATCTTCCATCTGATGATTTACTCTCCAAGTGGCAGCAATGGCCGAAGCCAGGAACCTGGATACTCTTCCAGGTCTCCACGCAGGTGCAGGATCCTAAGATTTTAGGCCATCCTCAACTGCTTTCCAAGGCCACAAGCAGGGGTGCTGGGATTAGAACCGGTGCCCATATGGGATCCTGGCACGTTCAAGGTGAGGACCTTAGCAACTAAGCTACCTCAAAGGGCCCAAATCTAAAAATATATTTTAATGTTTTATTAACATATTACCAATAAATTATTACATTTTCTGTTGCTTTAAAAATTTTATTAATATAAAGAGAACAATTTTATGGGTACAATTATACTTTTGAAGATTTACTTATTCAATTGAAAGAGACAGAGCCCTTCCATTTGTTAATTCACTCCTCAGAGGGCGCTGGCGAGGCTGAACCCCTGTGATGGCAGCTTCCAGGTTTTCCGTGTCGGTGGCAGGGGTGCAAGTACGAGGGACATTTTCTGCTGCTTTTTGCCAGGCTCTTAGCAAGCAGTTCTGTTGGAAACGGAGCAGCTGGAACTTGAACTTACCTGTGGGGGATTCTGGCTTCACAGGCAGCGGTTGTATCTACTTTGCCACAATTTTGGCCCCCAGAGGTACAATATTAAGTTACCCATACTTCTTCCCTTACATTTTCCTTCCCGCAAGCTTCCTCCTTCTTTTCTTTCTTTAATATTTCATACACATAATATCAGTTTACGCTATGATTGCAGGCCTAGTGCACCACTAATCAAAATATTTAGCAAGTAAATTTTTCTGTATTCTAAATTAACTACACAGTTTTTAACATTCTAGAGTGGGCCCGGCGCGGTGGCTCAGTGGTTAAGGTCCTCGCCTTGCACGCCTGGGATCCCATATGGGCGCCTGTTCTATCCTGGCAGCCCCGCTTCCCTTCCAGCTCCCTGCCTGTGGCCCGGGAAAGCAGTCAAGGACGGCCCAAAGCTTTGGGACCCTGAACCCGTGTGGGAGACCCGGAAGAGGCTCCTGGCTTCGGATCAGCATAGCATCGGCCATTGCGCTCACTTGGGGAGTGAATCATGGGACAGAAGATCTTCCTCTTTGTCTTTCCTCTCTGTATATCCGCCTTTCCAATAAAATAATAATAATAAATAAATCTTTTTTAAAAAAACATTCTAGAGTATTTAAAAATCAGTAATTGTATTAGATGTGCTCATATTTTTGGCCTTTAAGATTTTTGTTTGCACATTTTTGTTGTTGATATCATATTGCTTGATTATTGTACATTCTTATGTCATTTAATCTGCAATAAAGTTTACATGTGTCATGTAGTAAATAGAACTAAGAGTTTGAATGTGATGTCTCATAGACTTGTGGATTTAGTTTGTCCATGCAAGTATTTTAAAGTATTTTTAAAAGTTTGCCAGTGTTTACATTGCAGTTTATACAAAAATGCGGGCTTTTTTTTTGTTTGTTTTGTTTCTTTTGCTATTGAATGATTAGCTACTTGGGCAAAGTATCCTGGATGATACAGAGCTGAGTTATTAAGCAGAGGTCAGTGGTTGTAGATGGAGATAAATTAATATCTCTAATATCATTCATAATGGATGTAGTATAATTCATTGTGTTTTTCACAGTTTATTAAACCCATTTCCCATTGTTGAATAAATAGGCAGTTTATTTTCCATGGCTTGGTGTTACAAATATTTTCAAATATTGGTGTTACAGATATTTTCTTTTAAACTATAGTTTGTCTATACAGACTATCATGTTTGGTCTTTTAGGTGAAAAACAAGATTCTAAACAGATTATTTTCTTTAGTTACGTGCGAGTTGGAATGTTGTTTTCTTGCCATTTGTACTTAATTTTCTGTTAGCTTTCATTTTGCATTTAATGTTAAAAATGGGTATTTATAATTTTGTAAGTTTGATATTGTATATTTTAAAATGTCAAATTAAAAAATCAAAATATTTTTAATTAGAAAAGCCTTTCTTTCCTTGCTGACTTGAAGTGCTCTTTATTGCATATTTAATTTCTGTATATATTCAACATTATTTCACAAATTATTTTGTTCTATAGTTCTATTCCAGAGTTTTCTAATTCCCAAATTTTATAAACATGGGATTATGCAGCTGTTTTGCCTATTCCTCTGTGTGTTATTGCTCTTTTAACTGGCAATTTTTAAATGGTCAATAGTTTATTTTTCTTGAGGAATAAAAGATTCATTAGTATAATTAATGTAAGCTCATTTTTAAATGTTGGCAGTGTTTAAAAGTGCTGTAGATTTGAGTGGTGACTGATCTCATAATATCCTCTCTGTGTATCTTCCTTTCCAATAAAAATAAATAAATCTTAAAAAGAATAGAGATGCAGAAGTTCTCTTGATTATACTTTCTTGATATGTACAGTTTTAATGATAATTTTTAAAAAGTGTGGAGTAACAAACATTTTCTCTTTTGTAACAAAATGCCTGAAATTTCAAAATTTTGAGTTAGGCTTTTAAATTTATTTTTGCAAAAGTGATTACCTTTATCAGTAAGTGAAAGCATTCATATTATTTCTTTAATGATTTTAGAAATTCTTTTTTTTCTGTAAAACTAAAAGTTACATCTTTTGTGATTACTTGCTTTTCTAACTTATTTAATTTTTTGCTTTTTTAAAAGGTATAAGAAATTCAGCCAGATTTTGAACAACATTGGCGAGAATGAAGGTGGTATTGATAGATTTTCCAGAGGCTACGAGTCATTTGGTATTCACAGATGTGCTGATGGTGGTTTATACTGCAAAGAATGGGCCCCTGGAGCAGAAGGAGTTTTTCTTACTGGGGACTTTAGTAAGTATTTTGCCATCAGTAGTAATATATGTATGAGTGTGTGTGTGTGTATTTTGTAATATATGTATGAGTGTATGTGTATTTCGTACATGTTATAGTTCATGCACTGACTTATCCGAAGATGAGTGGTTATAAATTAATATGAGAGTTTTGAGATAGTTTAATAGAATTTACTAAGTCCTGATATTCATATGAAACAGCTGTTTCTGCTAAAATATGATGTGTTCCCAAAAAACTTACATTCTGAAGGTTCTTAAACTAGACCTAATGGAGTATATGAGAGAAGTAGGAAGTCTACCTCAAATGTACTCAACTTTGTCAGTGAGTTCTGACAAAATCAATTGTATTGTGAGCAAAAATATAAGTGTAGTTATAGCTGTACCAGTATTTGCTGCTGGCTGGCTGGTAGCATAGTTCATGAGTTCCCTATGGTCTTTATACTGAGTCTTCAGTAAAAAACAGGTATTAAGTCTAGACTATAACCTAATATGTTTGAAAATTAGGTTTTTTTTTTTATCACGATATGTTATAAAGATGTGCAATATAAGTGTTGGGAGAATTACATTTGAAAATTTTAAGTACTGCACTTGGTTTTAGTGCTTAAATACTAGAAGTAGAATAATTAGAGATCTTTGGTAAATAGAAAATTAAAACTACTCTGTCTTTACTTTACTGTAAAATGCCTCTGTTAAATATTTTCAAAACTTGAACCTGATTTTTGAAGTCTTGTACTTTGTGAAATTTTGTATTTTTTTTTAAAGATTTATTTATTTATTGGAAAGTCAGATATACAGAGAGGAGGAGAGACAGAGAGGAAGATCTTCCGTCCAATGATTCACTCCCCAAGTGAGCGCAATGGCCCATGCTATGCCAATCCGAAGTCAGGATCCAGGAACTGCTTCCAGGTCTCCCACATGGGTGCAGGGTCCCAAAGCTTTTGGGCCATCCTTGACTGCTTTCCCAGGCCACAAGCAGGGAGCTAGATGGGAAGTGGGGCTGCTGGGATTAGCACTGGTGCCCATATGGGATCCTGGTGCGTTCAAGGCGAGGACTTAAGCTGCTAGGCCATGCAGCCGGGCCCGAAATTTTGTAATTTTAAAATCTCTCCATGCCCTTTAGCAAGCCAGTGAATGATTTGCAGTAAGGTATTTGTTTAGTGTCTGAGGGCATAGAACATCAACACTAGCCATAGTTTTTTACTTGAGAGATACATACTATTAAGATAAATGCAGTTGTGATAGAAAATCCTTAAGAAACGAGAATATGTGGGTAAATAGTCCATTTTCTTATCTAGATGGATACCCCTTCTCTTTTTTCTCAGTCAACAATCTCAGTATCTTTTTTTTTTTAAATTCAGATTTCACCTGTTTTTTTTTTTTTTTCATTGAATATGTTTGACTTAGGAAAAAAGTTGAAAATAGAGAGTGGAACAACAGCTTTGGGTCAGTGATGCATTTAAAATATTTCTTTTTAAACATGGTACAGGGGCTCATGTAATATAGCTTGGTAAGCTGTGATTGTCATAATGGCATCGTATATTGCAAAATCAATTTGAAGCCCGGATGTTCTGCTTCCACTCCAAGTTCCAGCTAATTCATTCGGGAAGGCAGTAGAAGGCATCCCAAGCACTTAGGATCCTGCCATTCATTTGCAAATGCATGTGCAGTTTCTTGGTTCTGGCTTCAGCCACACCCAACTCCTGATATCAACTCCTGATATCTCTTTCTCTCATTACTGCCAATTTGTTACAAATATAATAAAGTATGCTTTAATGTTTAGTCAGAATCACACTGCAAAACATAGATTGGTAATCATGGCAAACTAGCTGAAAATATAACCCTAAGTAGCTGAGCTAATTATGCACCTTCTGTTTTAACACTAACTTATTTTTATTGAAAAGGCAGATATACAGAGAAAGAGATACAGAAAGATCTCCCATCCACTAATTTGCTCCACAAGTGGACACACGGCTGGAGCTGAGCCAATCTGAAGCCAGGAGCTTCATCTGGGTCTCCTACGTAGGTGCAGGGTCCCAAGGCTTTGGACCATCCTTTACTGCTTTCCCAGACCACCAGCAGGATGCTCATGGGAAGTGGAGCAGCCAGGACACGAACTGGCACCCACGTGGGATCCCAGTATATACAAGGATATTTAGCTACTAGGATATTTAGCCAGTAGATATCATGCAAGAGCCTATTATATACTTTTTTGGTTAATGAAATGAAGATTTCTGTATTTTGCTTGGATTTTATTTACATAAGAAGTATATTTTTCTAAGAATAATTGAACAGGAAAAACGTTCTTTTCTCTTAAGATTTTTCTTAGCATCAAAATGGGTTAGAGATTTTTATTGTAAGTCTTCTATTGTTTAAATTTGTAGTAAAATGAAAGGAGAAGCCACATGTTAGCTTAAAATTGCAGTGGGTTTTGATTTGAAAATTCAAATGATGATGAATTAAAATATCACTATATGGTTTTCTAGTTATCTTAAAATTTAACCTCGTATTTGATGAATTGAAACAGTAAGCAACTTAATGACTCAACTTAATCTCAACTATAGCACTGATTTTTAAACAATAAATTGCTTGAAAAGTAGTGTGACAGAGAGCACTCATTCTCTAGTTTACTGTCTGAGTTTCCACATTAGGGCTTTGTCCGGCTGAGGCTGGCAGCACAGCCCATCTAGTTCTCCCACATGAGTGGCAGAAACTGAACTACTTCCTGCCAGGGTCTACTTTGATAGGAAGCTGGAGAGTGATTGGATCCAGACCAGGTTAGGATGAATAACTGTTATCCTCACCCCAACACTGATTATTTCTAACAGTTCAACTCTGTGCTTTGTCATCTAATGTATCAAGAGCTTTAATTTGTATGTTCATGAAAGAATACTTAAAGGAACTCTTGCATTATTAAAAGTAACAGAGTATTTCTTTATTTTAATCATGGAAATGTGTTTATAATTTGGAAATGTTGGTTTTGTATCCTACCTCTTCTCTCCAGCCCTAAAAGTTAATATGAAATTGACCTTAAGCACATAGATTCAAAAATCTTATATCTTCTGATGGACAGATTGAAGTTTCTATCTACAAGATATAGAAAAGTTTCTTCATTAAGTTCTTATTAAAGTGATTACCCATTTACTAAGAGTAAACTTTCAGAAGAAATTAGAATTTAAGAATTTAATTCTGTATTACTGAAAATTATACCTATAATCAAAATATTTCAGCACATTGTGACTTCATTTCCAGTGAGTTTGCCATTTGACTCCATGCACATTTGTTTTCAATAGGGCTTACTCATATTTCTGTTAAAATTTTGTTGGTGACATGTATTTTTAATGTATTTTGGCCAACTCCTCTTGGATGGTTTTGCTTTGAATAAGTACATGTGATTGATTTCAATAAAGAAATTGCCATGAACTGGAATGTAAAATATTTTAAAAAGAAGACAGAAAAAAAGTTAGATAAATTCTTAAAAGAAAACTCATTATCTGGCTCCATTTGGATAATGTTGAGAATATTGTTCTTAACTTCCTCACTTGATTTTTCTAGGTACTAACCAGATTGTAAATATGAAGCATTTCATCCGTAATTTTTGTGCTACATAAATGTTAACTGGCAATATTGGAAAATATTCATTTGTAAAAGTTTTTTTGTTGTTTTTATGAAAATTATTACTAATTTCAAAAATCAGTTGAGCACTACAAAAGCACAATAATTTAGTTTGTTTTGCCCATGCTGAGCCATATTTGACTATGGTCATCTCCATTTTCAAAAACAACCTGGAAAACAACCTCACTTTAATTATAACACATTTTCCTCATTTGAGAAATGTAAAATGATCATTTTCTTTCATTTATAAACAACTAGCTTGTTTTTTTTTTTTTTTAGATTTTTTTTATTTTATTGGAAAGTCAAATATAGAGAAGGAGAGACAGAAAGATCTTCCATCCGCTGGTTCTCTCCCCAAGTGGCCACAACGGAAGGAGCTGAGCCGATTGGAAGCTAGCAGCTTTCTTCGGTCCTCCCATGTGGGTGCATGTTCCGAAAGCTTTTAGCTGTTCTGACTACTTTCCCACGCCACAGGCAGGGAATTGGAATGGAAGTGGAGCAGCTGGGACATGAACTGGTACCCATATGAGATCCTAGTGAATGCGAGGTGAGGATTTTAGCAACTAGGCTCATTTGCCAGGCCCACAACTAGCTTTTTACACAGTTAACAACTGATAGAGCTACCTGGAAGGATGGGATATATATATATCTAATGATATCCATCATTATTGAAATATCACCACCCAAAGTGTATTTTTGGGCAAACTATAAACCACTTTATGGTTTGAGATGATTTTTACAACTTTGAATCATTTGCAATATGGCAAAGACTCATTTTTTACAAAGTTAGAAGCAATTTGAAATATACTTGGAGTTTTGGTACTAAATCCTGCTTATGGCAGGTTACTACATAACTGAAGAGAAATAACTGCTTTGAGATGATAGTAAGAAAGGCAGTAAAGTACATTTCTCAATAGAAAATAATCGGATGCCTATTTGGTATAAGTGAAAACATTTCATTTGAAATTACTAAGTCTGGGGGCATATGGCTTTCAGGTAACATAAATGTCTATCATTGGTAGTGTGGAAAAAATATTTCCGTGGAAAACAGAAACAGCATGCAGTTTTGCAATTTGGGAAAGCTAAGCGGATGAATTTTGTCTGTTTTCTGAACAAATTTTGTTTATATATATTTATGTTATGTTATTGCCAAGAATTTATAGATCACAAAAGCTACTGTAGTTCTTGATCCTATGGGCTTTGAAACAGGGTCATGGGAAGTGTGCTCTGTGGATTCTTGTTTCATGAAATAATTCATTTTGCAAGCAATTGTCAGAAATTGAAAATAAGCATTTACAAACCTTGATAGTGATTTGACAATAATTCTATTTTTGCTGAATTTAATGAACATAACACAGAATCAAAATATTGAATGTTTTTCTTTCGGTT